AGATAGAGGGTATCTTGAATAGCAAACCACTAGGCTACGTCTCGTCTGACGTAGCAGATGTAGACCCGGTCACCCCCAATTTCCTCCTCATGGGGCGGCGGGGTGCTTCGCTACCCCAAGTAGTCTACACTCCAGAACCTCTGTCTAAGCGTCGATGGCGCCATGCTCAGACTGTAGTTGATCATTTCTGAGCGTACTTTACCCGACATTACCTGCCTAACCTTCAGCCTCGTCTTAAGTGGCAGCGTGAGACTCAGGATCTGACCGAGGATGCTGTAGTGATGGTGGTGGACCCACAACTGCCTCGGGCTCACTGGCCCATCGGTAGGATTGAGAGTCTGGTACCCAGCGAAGACGGCCATATTAGGTCAGCAAAGGTCAGAATAAAGGACCACCTGTATCTTCGCCCTGTGGCTAAGCTAGTTCAACTCCCGGCACTCCAAAATGGGGGGGATACAGACGTTAAGGACTAAGGAATTCATATTTCTACAGATTAGCTATGCTAATCTGGGGGCTGCTGTACTAAATTCCTTATTCATTTGTAAGGGTAGTCTCCTCAACGTGCGTGTGACGTAGTTGTGCATGTACAGAGCGCTGACGGTGGTCCGCCAGAGCGGTTTCAGTTTACTTTGTTTCATTTCTCTGCCGCTATTTCAAATGAGTGGTAAATGTGCATGCATAAGTTAATTTATCTTTATTTACCTGTCATATTGCAATAATGTTGCCACTGCCAGTCTGATTGTTGTCATAGGTGTATATTGTAGTTCAGAATATACAGAATTTGGAGAATTCTGCACGCGTTATTTACATGCATATTTAGCGCCATTTATATTTTAAACCACACTTGCCACCTCTGTTAATTTAAGAACTGTACAATGCTGGATGATGTAAAGTGACACATCCTGAATATATAAACCATTGAACAACCATCTGTCTCCTGTCGTACTTCTTGCTGGAGTTCCGTAGTGGACTAGCATTCCACCTAACTACAGAGAACAGATTCCTTTACAATGGGTCTGGTTCTTACCTTATTGATGAACAGGAAATGTAGTTTACGAGTAAAGCTGCAAATTATTTAATTAACGTCAGCTGCCTCTGTAATAATTTTCTGATACATACAAGTGAAAATCAATGCACGGCATAAATTATAAATGAATTATTATTAATTATTCGAGAATATTAGCAAAAGTGGTTTTCTTTGTTATCTCATACATGACGTATGCATGCTCCGGCCTGGAATGTTTAGTGCAAGTGTGAGTGCAGGCCAGCGGGGGAGTGGGGAGGGGGGATAATTGCGCTTGGGCTCAGTTCAAGGCAACCGTGCCTAGTGTGAGTACACCCTCAGTCTGTCCTGTTACGGCTAAGAAGGCTGTTTCTGAACTCTCAGTCTGTCCTGTTCTGACCAAGGAGGTCAATTCTGAACTCCGTGACTGTCCTATCCTGGCAAAGAGGGCCAGTCACGAACTCTATGTTTGCCCTGCAACGATCAGGGAGGTTGTTTCTGAACTCTCTGACTGTACCACCACGGTCAAAAGAGCTGCCCCTGGACTCTCTGCTCGCCCTGTTACGGCCAAAGATGCCGTTTCTGAACTGTCTGCCGGTCCTGTTATGGCCGCCGAGGTTATTGTTAACCTCTCTGTGCTCTATGTTTCAGTTCTGCCTGATCCGCCTTGCTGGTATCCTGCACCATCAGCTCCACCCTGGTACTCATCTGTTCCGCTGTTGGGATCTTTGGTCCCCTCTGCTCCACCCTGGTGGGCTCCTGCTCCTTATCTCTGCTCTGGTGGTCTTCAGCTTTGACCTGGTGTTCTTCTGCTCCGCCCTAGCACCCTGCTCCACCGGCTCCGCCCTGGTTCTCTGCTCTGCTGGCTACGCCTTTGTCCTCTGCACCGCCGGCTCTGC